CTTTTCTCTTTTATTTTTTTCTTTCCTTTCCTCTTTCTTCCTTTTTCTTTCTTTTTTTCTTTCTTTCTCTTTTTATTCATATTTTCTTTTTTATTCATTTTTTTTCTTTTTTTCTTTCTTTTCTTTCTTTTTCTTTCTTTCTTTCTTTCTTTCTTTTTTCTTTTTTCATTTTTTCTTTCTTTCCTTCCTTTTTCTTTTCATTTCAAAACTTTCTTTTTCCTATTCTTTATTTTCTTTCTTTCTTTCTTTTTTCTTTTTCTTTTATTTTCTTTCTTTCTTTTTTTTATTTTTGTTTCTTTTCATTTTTCCTTTCCTTGCCTCTGTTTCTTTCTTTCTTTTTTTTTTTTTTATTCATATTTCTCTTTTTATTCATTTTTCTTTTTTTTCTTTTCTTTCTTTCTTTCTTTCTTTCTTTTCTTTTTTTTCTTTTTTTATTTTTTCATTATTTCCTTTCTTTTTCTTTTTTATTCATGTTTCCTTTCTTTCTTTCTTTCTTTCTTTCTTTCTTTCTTTATTTTTTTTTTTTTTTTTTTTGTTTTATTTCATTTTTTTCTTTCCTTGCCAAGTCCCTCCTGTTCAAAATCTTTCTTTCTTTCTTTTTTCTTTCTTTTCTTTCTTTTTTTCTTTCTTTCTTCTTTTTTATTCATATTTCTTTTTTTATTCATTTTTTTCTTTTCTTTTTCAATTTCATTTTTTCTTTCTTTCCTTTCTCTTTTATTCCTCTCTTTCAAAATTTTCTTTTTTTCATGTTTTCTTTCTTTCTTTTTTCTTTCTTTATTTCTTTCTTTTCTTTCTTTTTTTTCTCTTTTATTTCATATTTTTCTTTCCTTTCATTTTTCCTTTCTTTTTTTCATTCATTTGCATACTTTCTTTTTATTTTGTTTTCTTTTTTTCTTTTTTTCTTTCTTTTCTTTTTTATTCATTTTTTTCTTTTTGTTTTTTTTTCTGTTTTATTTCATTTTTTTTTTCTTTTTTTCTCTTTTTATTCATTTTTCTTTCTTTTCTGTCAAAAAAATCTTTCTTTCTTTTCTTTCTTTCTTTTTTTTTCTTTCTTTTTTCTTTTTTTCTTTTCTTTTTTTTTTTCTTTTTTTGTTTCATTTCATTTTTCTTTTTTTTTCAAAATCTTTCTTTCTTTCTTTCTTTTTTTCTTTTCTTTTGTTTTCTTTTTTTCTTTCTTTTTTCTTTTTTTTTTTTTTCTTTCTTTTTTTATTTCTGTTCTATTTCATTTTTTCCTTTGCCTCTTCCTTCCTTTCTTTCAAAATTTTTCTTTCTTTCTTTTTCTTTTTCTTTCTTTCTTTCTTTCTTTCTTTCTTTTTTTTTTCTTTTTTTATTTTATTTCTTTTTTTTTTCTTTTTCATTTTTCTTTTTTTAAATTTTTCTTTCTTTTTTTTTTTTCTTTCTTTTTTTCTTTTTTTATTTTATTTTCTTTTTATTCTTTTTTTCTTTCTTTTCTTTCCTTTTTCTTTCATTTTTTCTTTCTCTTTTATTCATTTTTTCTTTCTTTTCTTTCCTCTTTGCCTTTCTTTCTTTCTTTTTCTTTCATTTCTTTTCTTTTTTTTTCTCTTTTTTATTCATTTTTTCTTTCTTTTTTTTTTTATTCATGTTTCTTTCTTTCTTTCTTTCTTTTTTTTTTCTCTTTTCTTTTATTTCTCTTTTTTTCTTTTTTCTTTTTTTCTTCCTTTTTTTTTATTCATATTTCTCTTTTTTATTCATTTTTCTTTCTTTTTCTTTTTTCAAGCCCTCTTCCTGTTTCTTTCTATTTTTATTTTCATTTTTTTCTTTTTTCTTTTCTGTTTTTCATTTTCTTTCTTTTCTTTCTTTCTTTCTTTCTTTCTTTCTTTTTTTTTCTTTCTTTCTTTTATTTTTTTTTTTTTTTTTTTTCCCTCTGTTTCCTTTTGTTTTTTTCTTTTCATTCATTTTCTTTCTTTTTATTCATTTTTCCCTTTCCTGTTTCTTTTCTTTCTTTCTTTCTTTCTTTCTTTTTTTCTTTTCATTTTTTTTCTCTTTTTTCTTTTTTTCTTTCATTTTCTTTCTTTTTTATTCATGTTTCCTTTCTTTCTTTCTTTCTTTCTTTCTTTATTTCTTTCTTTCTTTCTGTTTTATTTCTGTTTTATTTCATTTTTTTCTTTCCTTCTCCCTGTCCAAAATCATTTTTTCTATCTTTTCTTTTTTATTCATGTTTCCTTTCTTTCTTTCTTTCTTTCTTTCTTTCTTTATTTCTTTCTTTCTTTCTGTTTTATTTCTGTTTTATTTCATTTTTTTCTTTCCTTGCCTCTGTCCTTCCTTTTGTCTGTCATTCATTTGCATACTTTCTTTTTTATTCATGTTTCCTTTCTTTCTTTCTTTCTTTCTTTCTTTCTTTCTTTCTTTTTCATTTCTTTCTTTCTTTCTGTTTTATTTCTGTTTTATTTCATTTTTCTTTCCTTGCCTCTGTCCTTCCTTTTTTCTTTTTTTCTTTTCCTTTCTTTCTTTCTTTCTTTCTTTCTTTCTTTCTTTCTGTTTTATTTCTGTTTTATTTCATTTTTTTCTTTCCTTGCCTCTGTCCTCTCCTTTTCAAATTCTTTCTTTCTTTCTTTTTTTTCTTTCTTTTTTCTTTCTTTCTTTTTTTTTTTTTCTTTCTTTTTTTCTTTTTTCTTTTCTTTTCTGTTTCCTTTTCTTTTTTTTTTTTTTTCTTTTCTTCCTTTCTTTTTCTTTTTTTTTATTTCTCTTTTTTTATTCATTTTCTTTTCTTTTTTTCTTTCAAAATCTTTCTTTCTTTTCTTTCTTTCTTTCTTTCTTTCTGTTTTCTTTTTTTTTTCATTTTTTTCATTTTTCTTTCATTTTTCCAACCTCTCTTTCCATACTTTCTTTTTCTTTCTGTTTCTTTTCTTTTTTTCTTTTTTATTCTTTTTTCTTTCTTTTTTTTTATTTCAAAATCTTTCTTTCATTTTTTCTTTTCTTTTTCTTTCATTCTATTTCTCTTTTTTATTCATGTTTTTTCTTTCTTTTCTTTCTTTCTTTCTTTCTTTTTTTTCTTTCTTTCTTTCTTTTTTTTTTTTTTGCCTCTTTTTCTTCCTTTTTTTTTTTCATTTTTTACTTTCTTTTTTCATGTTTCCTTTTTTCTTTTCTTTCTTTCTTTCTTTTTTTTTCTTTCTTTCTTTCTTTTTCTGTCATTTCTCTTTTTTTTCATTTTTTTTTTTCTTTTGTTTTCTCTTTTATTCATATTTCTCTTTTTTTTTTTTTCTTTCTTTCAACTTTCTTTGTTCAAGCTCTTTCTTTCTTTCTTTCTTTCTTTTTTTCTTTTTTCTTTTTTTTTATTTCTCTTTTTTTCATTTTTTCTTTCTTTTCCTTTTTTCCTCATTTCTTTCATTCTTTCTTTTTTATTTTATTTCTTTTCTTTTTTCTTTCTTATTTCTTTTTTTATTTATTTTTTCTTTCTTTTTTTTAAGCCTCTCCTGTTCATTTTCTTTCTTTCCTTATTTTCTTCCTTTCTTTTCTCTTTTAATTTTTCTTTTTTATTCATTTTTTTTCTTTTTTCTTTCTCCTCTTTCTTTCTTTCTTTCTTTCTTTCTTTCTTTTCTTTTTTATTTCTTTTTTTCTTTCTTTTTCTTTTTTGCCTCTTTCCTTTTTTTATTCAGTTTTTTTTTTTCAACCCTCTCCTTTCAAAATCTTTCTTTCTTTCTTTTCTTTATTTCTTTCTTTCTTTCTTTTCTTTTTTTTCTTCATATTTCTCTTTTTTTTCAGTTTTTCTTTCTTTTTCCAACCCTCTCTGTTCAAAATCTTTCTTTTTTTTTCTTTCTTTTCTTTCTTTTCTTTCTTTCTTTCTTTTTTTTCTTTTATTCAAATTCATTTTCTTTCTTTTTCCCTCTCCTGTTCAAAATCTTTCTTTCTTTCTTTCTTTCTTTCTTTCTTTCTTTCTTTCTTTTCTCTTTTTATTCATATTTCTCTTTTTTATTCAGTTTTCTTTCTTTTCCAACTTTCTTTTCAAAATCTTTCTTTCTTTTCTTTCTTTCTTTTCTTTCTTTCTTCTTTCTCTTTTTTATTTTTATTTCTGTTTTTTTTTATTTTTTTTTCTTTCTTTTCCAACCCTTCTATCTGTCATTTCTTTCTTTCTTTCTTTCTTTCTTTCTTTTCTTTTTCTTTTTATTCATTTTTCTTTCTTTTTTATTTGTTTTTTTCTTTCTTTTCCAAGCCCTCTCCTGTTCAAAAATCTTTCTTTCTTTTTTTTTCTTTCTTTCTTTCATTTTCTTTCTTTCTTTTCTTTCTTTCTTTTTTCTTTTTTCTTTCTTTTGTTTTTTTTCTGTTTTTAATTTCTTTTTTAAAAATCTTTTCTTTCATTTCTTTCTTTCTTTCTTTTTCTTTTCTTTCTTTCTTTTCTTTTTTTCTTTATTTCTCTTCTTTTATTCATTTTTCTTTTTTTCATTTTTCCTGTTCAAAATCTTTCCTTTTCTTTCTTTCTGTCTTTCATTTTCTTTCTTTTCTCTTTTTTATTCATATTTCTCTTTTTATTCAGTTTCTTTCTTTTCCAACCCTCTCTTTCTTTCTTTCTTTCTTTCTTTCTTTTCTCTTTTTATTCATATTTCTCTTTTTTATTCATTTTTTCTTTCTTTTCCAAGCCCTCTCCTGTTCAAAATCTTTCTTTCTTTCTTTCTTTTTCTTTCTTTCTTTCTTTCTTTCTTTCTTTCTTTTCTCTTTTTATTCATATTTCTCTTTTTTATTCATTTTTTCTTTCTTTTCCAAGCCCTCTCCTGTTCAAAATCTTTCTTTCTTTCTTTCTTTCTTTCTTTCTTTCTTTCTCATGAGTTTTTCTCTCTCTTTTTACTGCTTTTTATTTATATATTTATTTATCTACCAGTGCCTCTTTTGTTTGTATATTTCCTTTTTGCCTTTTCTCTCCGCCATATTGATTCTTTCTTTCTTTCTTTCTTTCTTTCTTTCTTTCTTTCTTTCTTTCTTTCTTTCACTGCTTCTTTCACTCACTCCTCTTTTTTCTTCATCTTATTTTTTGTTTTCAAACTCTTACTCTTTTTATTCAACTCTTCCTTCTTTCCTTCCTTCTTTCCTTCCTTCTTTCTTTCCTTCTTTTCTCCTTTCCTCCGTTCTCTTCTCTGTATACCTAAACATTTTTATATTGATATTCAAATTAGCTATAAACAGGATTTTTTATCTGGGTTCGAATACCTCCCTTGGTCAACGAAAAAAATCTCCCTCCGCCACTTTGTGCTTCACCCCTTTCTCTCACCATCTTTCACTTTCTTCTCTTTCTCTTCAAATACTTTTTCATCTTTTCCTTAATTTCTAATTTCTCTCTCTCTCTCTCTCTCTCCTTCCTTTTTTCTCTATCATGCCCCATCCTTCGGACTGTTTTAAATGATGAATGATGGTTTACAACCGGACTAAGAAGGCCTTCCGGATATGAGGAATTGGTTACAAAGTCCGGATATGAGGGGTTATATTTGGATTAGAATAAACGAAATGAAATCGGGTTTAACATTTATATTCAATGTTTTATAGTAAACAAAATAAGCTAATGGTGAGTGAAATATAACTGAATTGATTTTAATGAAAAAGAAATAAATTAATCTTAATGAAAATTCATTAAATTATGCCACGTATGCAAAACAAATAATGTAACGAGGATTTTTTTAATGCCTGTTACATGATGATTCTTTCTCTTCTAATAACATTCTCAACTTTTTCTGCATTTCGTTTGCTTTTCTTCATGAAATTTTTTAAATCAAATACATTTTTTTAACTCTGCATGCGTTATTGCAGTCGTCATAGCTGAATGCTGGCTTTCTTTCCATAAAACTGACAACGTTTTCAATAGCTTTTTCAATTTCAGTCCAGGTTTCATCACAATCATGTTTTTTTATTTCCTTGTTCATTGTGACAATGTGGATGCTGGAGAATAGGATTTTCCTATGTTGAACTCAGCCATTTAGTTACAATGAACTTTTACCATTGTCTAGTCTGTTTAAAATTTCAACATTTTGCGATAACTCCAAAGTTGTTCTTTTCCTCTTATTCCCATCATCTTTTGCACTAATACAAGCCATTAGGGTGAAATAAGCATGAGCAATTATCCAAAGTAAATTTCCTGAAAAACAGAAATTTCAAATCAGTTACATATCACCCAAATAGTTCAAATATACACCATGAAAATTATGTCCGGATATGAGGGATTCCGGATATAAGGCACTCCGGATATGAGGGATTCCGGATATAACGGATTCTACTGTATTTCCCTACGCTTGCTCAATATTTTGTTATTGAGATGTACACACTTAGAGAACAAAACGAAATACACGGACAGTTAAATAAAAATAATAAAAAAACATTCAAGGTGCGCTTTTATTAAACATTGAATAAAAAAGAAGCAACTATTCGAATCAAAAAATATTTCCCACTTTGTTTGATCTCATTAATACGAGACTCACGTCACCTCCGACCTTCTTCTTCCATGTGTCGTGTCCCTTCAAGACGTTGGCGATCTTAGCTCTTCATAATTCCCTGTCGTTTGTTGCTCTTAATTTTCACTTATTGCTATCGCTCCTAACCCTTGTTCAGCCATACATTTATCCAAGCTCTCTAGGTAGCTTTAGCGTTGTTTGCCTCTTTCCCTCCTGTCTTCAATCTGTCCTGGTTTACAGCCATGTAGCATTGAAACACCGATTTCCGAAGTTAAGCAACGTTGAGTTTGATTTAATACTTGGATGGGTGACTGCTTGGGAATATCAGGTGTTGTAAGCTTGGATGTGCGTGTGGTGTAATGGTTAATAGCTAGAGAGCCGAGTTCCAATTTAAATTGGGTTTGTTATATTTGTTTTCGTACAAACATCCTTGGAACAGGAATGAGTTCACCTCTTCTCCCCCGCCTTACTTTTTAGTCGATTTCTCTAAATCCTTAGATTCTGTAAGTAGTTGTCATAAAGATGATATTCAAAAAATACCAAATCTTTTGTTAGATCCGCAGACGGAGACACTAACTTCTTCGACATCACCTTTGACTCTTTAAGCTCTTCCCTCGACAAACATCATCACATAGGCTTTATTTTATCACTCAGACACTCAAGTCGATATCCTGCCAGAAGGTTGACTATGTAAATGACCTAGCTGTACCTGCAGACACCAATGCCTCAGTTCTCCTACATCATCTAGAAAGACTGGTAAGAGTGTTGATCTCTATGTCAGTACATCGGAAACTGAAAACATAGGCTTCATCCAGCAAGTCTCAATAAAAAAAAATGGCACAGATGAAACAATAAAATGATTGTGACTCCCCAAAATACTCGAACGAGGCAATAACACAAACTTACTTTGGTTAGTCTATTCACAAATTCAAGCAGAATACTTAACACTTATTTGAGAAATATATATATATATATATATATATGTGTGTGTGTGTGTATGTGTGTGTGTGTGTGCGTGTGTATTTAGGCAGCAATCCTTCTTTCATGCATATTTAACTGAATACGACAGACAAGGTGCTTTTATTTTTTTTTATATATACAATTTCTCATGCGATCCAATAATTTTATCATCCGAAAAGAAGAAAAAGATATTCGATCGCATGAGAAATTGTTTAAAAACTAAATAAAAGCGCTTTGTCTGTCGCATCAATGAAATCAATGAATGTATATATATATATATATATATATATATATATATATATATATTAAGGTGTGCTCTATTTATGGGATAAAGTGTTCAATATCAGAGATAAGGCGTGTGTAAATATAAAAAGTGAACATTAAAAGTCAACACTTAGAGGCAACAGGCTGTTTCATGGTAGACGCAATCGTCAGATGGCCTGACGATTGCGTCTAGCACGGAAACAGTTTGTTGCCCTAAGTTTGACTTCAATGTTCACTTATATATATATATATATATATATATATGTGTGTGTGTGTGTGTGTGTATATATATATATATATATATATATATATATATATATATATTTATATATATGCCAGATGCTTAAATACGGATAGATGTACGAGCGACCGATCATATACAAATACATATAAATACTCTACAGGGGAAAATGTAGAATATATTTCTGACATGTGCCCCCTCCCCACACACACACCTGAGACAGTAGCTGTCATAAAGATGCTATACAGAAAATACAAAATTTTGGTCTAGATCCCCAAACGGAGATACTAGCTTCTTCGACATCAACACTGGTGTCCTCCAGGGTGATACCCTTGCACCTTTTCTCTTTGTCATCACCTTTGACTACGTATTGAGCTCTTCCCTCGACAAACATCATCATCTATGTTTTACTTTATCACCAAGATTCTCAAGTCGATATCCTGCAAAAATGTTGACAGAAGAATTGTATCACTGGTCCTGTCTTCTCGAATTTTGTCTTGAATCAGATAACTCTACGTGTTACTGATACATTGTAACCCAATACTTCCTGTTGCATGGTCTTGTCATTGACGACTAAACTGGTTCCGCCTTTAGGTTTTTCTGGTGAGAAGAGTGGCTCGACTACCAGCAGAATTAAAAACAAGACCTGTCATATGGCGGATGAACCCTTTTGTAGGAGCCAATGCCATCTAGCGCATTGGGCTAGACTGAGCGCTAAAGCTATGTTTGCAACCTATGTGGTGATGATATGGGCTGACGGCTTCTACGACGGAGGTCAACAGTCCGGACGGAGGCTTGCTCTGCCAGAATCAACGGCAACGTGCCGAAACTTTTAATTTGGAAGATATAAGCAGCAGTTTTATCTCGAGTGAGGTTAGTCTCCGCCAGATCTACTTATTCAAGATGCCCTACGCAGGAATGAATACGCAGGCCTGAATAACATTAGTCTGGCAATGGAGTAAATATCGTTTCAAAGATTTCCGATGTATAGATTTTTTACTAAACCAAAGTTTATTAAGTCAATGAAAAAGAATGGAAGTGTGAGTTGGAGTTGTGCAGAGTTCGGCAATATTCGGTACGCATGTCACACCAAGCAAATATCCAATTGCACGCAGCTGCAAATGACATCACAAAGTCCGAACCAATAACTACTACAACGTTAAGAAGATATTTTGCTGTTTCAATTTTAATATATACTAAAGTCCGATAATTATTTTAAGACATTTTTTTTATGTTTATACGTTATACGATACAAATATTTCAGTAAATGCTCTGTTTATAATAAACAGTATTAATAACATTTATCGGCCAGAATGTCCGAGAAATTTTCATAGAAAATATGCGTCCTCCAACAGGAATCGAAACTGTATCCTATACGGAACCGTCATATAGCCTGACGTGCTTTACCGATTTAGCCACAGAGGAGCGTTTCGGTTAGCAAAGTCGATTTTACTGTTTCTCGTACATTCATATCTGCTCGTTGCGTGTCCAAATGTAAATAAATGACGTCACACATTATGAAATGGACAAAGTTCGACAATTATTTTAAGACATTTTTTAAGTAAATGCTCTGTTTATAATAAACAGTATTAAACAACATTTACCGGCCTGAATGTCCGAGAAATTTTCATAGAAAATATGCGTCCTATATACTAAAGTATATATACTATATATTAATATATAAAAGATATTTTAGAACAGGTGTATTGACCTTGACTTGTATAAAAATACGTCTCCTGTTGGCACACTGAATGATTTTAAAACCCTAAGTCGGCACATAGTTAGCAAAAGGCTGCCGACCCCTGTAAGGAGAAGGTCTATTTGAATTCAGTATTAACAATTTTTATTTTTATTCAACCAATGGAAAATAGATAAAAATTTCGACAGTAAATATGATTCCATAGAATTAAGCTTTATCCAATAGATTACATAAATAGAATGAAATAGAAGGTGGGGGTTGTTTTGTATTAATCTTTGAATTGAGAAGGTTTAGTCTGCTTTAGAAATCAGTCTCAGGAAGTGTGGCATTTACCTACCTTCAAGCCTTGACCACTGGCGCCGATTGAATATCACCAACTCACCTAAACATCAAATAGATTCCGATTGAATATTTTTATTCGACAATAACTTGACCAAATCATTGACGACCTTTATGTAAGTGAAGATAAACAACAAAATAGCGAACAACGGTCATGAAATACACACACACGTGCGCGCGCATATATATATATATATATCTCATCTATGTAAACAATCACAGACTATGATCACTGTATACATTGTCCGTATATTGCTTAATATGTTGTACAGTAATTGACATCTTTGATAATGGCTTATGTAAGCCGAAATCTTAGATTGAATTAAAAAATCTGGATCAATATTGTGATTTTCTTTCTTCGTTTAATGATAATGTTATT